GATCGTGGCTCTCTCTGAAGCACTGCCAAGAGCGGCCCGGGACTCCGAGCGCCGTGGAGCCAGAGTGCGTCAACCCAGCACGCTGTAGACGGGTATGTGCATCTGGGCCTGTAATGACCACTCGAGGCCTGCAACGTATGATGAAAGGTACTGCACGTCAATAATTGTAATTCTGAACATTCGTCGCTACATATTGTCCCGACATCGATTCGACCATGGCTGCGACCCAGATTTGTTGGTACAGGCCAACCTGTGGAGTTGCAAGTGGGGAAGACGAAGGAAAGCCTGGTTGCTTGCTGTAAGGTACCAGCAGAAGGATCCAGTAGCTAGAGAATCCCCCGAGAGCTCTTTCCCCCGAAGCTTGTGGAATTGACGGCGCGAGAGGCAATCACTGAGGCCGCCACTGCCAGGATGACCAGTCTGTTGGATCGGGCAGCTAGATGGGCAGAGCTACAATACTTGGTCTACCTTAGGTAAGGTAACACCTACCCAAGGTAAATACCATGATACAAATGGAAGCTGCGTCCTGCCGCGGACACACTGAGGGGACGGCAAGACAGACAATCCCACCACAAGCCATCACTCTGTTCGTTCATTCTGTCGTCCAATACTCTTCGCATGATCAGCAGTCTCCGAAGGCTTCATGTCGGAGGACTAATAGAGCCAAATCAACAATGGAACGTTCGTTCGGCGTCTCGGAACGATGTTTGGGCAGTCAGGCAACCCAGCGTCCAAGCAGCAGCCAGGGATGGTCGATCAATTCTTCCACGTGCAATGCGGAGTCGTCAGACGCATTGCCTCGCTCGGCACTGGCTTCTGATCTCATTCCCAACGTCCGACAAGTACGACATCAAATGCCAATTCCAATGGTGCCTGCAGACGCCGGGCCATCGCCGCCATTGGGAATAAACCGCGCACGTAAGCAACAAAGGGCGCTCTCTGCGAACCACGGCCGCCCATACCCACCTGCTTCACCTTCGGTTCCCAGGTCAGCAACCATTAAGGCATCTATTGGGCAGGAAAGATGTCCGGGTCGGTGCGTCGCCCAAGTGGACCTCCGCCGCCTTACGGTGGGCTGGACAGAGTGGACGACGAGGACAAGTGGTACATGGTAGTATGGCGTTGACCGCTGAGACACGACAGGGGCCGAGCCGCGCCTGGAGGGGCAGCGCAAGGCAGAGAATCGGTGCCCGACGTCATCGTTGCAGGCGGTCAAGACAAAGGGCAGGGTTGGTGCCGGCGACGGGCTGCGCGCCAGCGACGGGATGGCCCCGGGACTTGTGTTGGTGACATGTTGCGCGCTGGTCTACTGGCGCTGCATACATGGTACGCTCAACAAGCTCTGATGCCGACCCTCCAAAAGACCCCCGAAATGCCACATCCACGATACCACATGTCGGAGCCGCTCAGAACATCCCACACGCCGCACCAGATGGTCAGTCAATCAGCACTGTACCAGGGCATGGGGGCGATCTCCCGGATGGAGCATCCAGGGGCAAAGAAGACACTGCTGCCCGAGAGGCGACTTTGGGCATGTTGGGTTGGTGGTGAAAGGCAGAAAAGGCTAGACCCTGGCGGCTGTCATGGACGAGATGGGGAAAAAGAACGACAGCCGCCGGGATGAAGGGTTGTAATTTGAAAAGGTATAATGAGGGTCGTGATGGACTCAAGCAGGGAGGACCTTGTCTGCCGGCTCGCACGTCGCCGCCCGTGGCATGACTCGCTGGGCAATCTGTTAGGGATTTCCTCAACAGCCCGCTGTGTCTGGGTTGGAGCATTGACAGCAGCACTAACACTTATGCCCCCCCTGCTGCGCGTCCAAGATCCCCCACCTCTAACCTCAATCGTCGTCATCAAAGCCGGTTTCCCCTCCATTGTCGACTAGCGAGGCCAAGTCTCGTCAATCCAGAGGTTTGTCGACATCGTATCCTGGGGCCTGGAACCATCTCATCTCATCCCCTCGCCGTGGGCTTCTCGCAAATACAAAATCATCTCTCTCCCCCACCTGCACAGATCATCTGACCAGCCCCCTCCATTTCCATGGTATGGACAGGTCCTCCTTTGCCTTTTAATACTGCTGTCTCTTGTCGTCAGAGACAGAATCTCGTCCACAGCAACCCAGAAGCGAACGCGCCAACCACAGCCCCCTCCATCACAGGCCAACGTCACCTGAGAGGGGTCACGGTCGCAACGACAGACCACCCAACAACCTGTGATATCACCCGGCACCGCCATTCCACACCCTCCCCAAATCAGCCAGTCGCCATCCATCTTTGGCCCTCTGCCGCCGCCGTCAAATCACATCTCACGGCTCTGATTCTCTCTGTGTTCCAGGCGTCGTTTCCACTTTCCGCCACAACATCGGATCCAACTTCCCACTTGGTCCGCCCCGACATTTGCGTCATACGTCTCTCGGCTGCCACCACACACACACACATATCGCAGCGATCTCGTCTTTCCAGTACTCGACATCGACTGTCATCTGACCTCCGTCTGGTTTGCAGACCAACATCGACAGCAACTCCTTTTTTGTTGCATCAATTTGTCGATCATCAGAACCGAGTTCTTCCTGGAGACTTTGTTGATCTGTTTCCATCACCGCTTTGATACCCGTTCCTGCAGATTCGAAAACTCCAACCATGGCCAACCGCTGGGATCGCGATCGCTTCGCCTATGAGCGAGAGCGGGATCGCTTTGATGACCGGCCACCTCCCCCTAGCCGCTTCGAAGACCGACCGCCTCCTCGATTTGACGATCGTGACGATGCCTACTCTCAGGTGCCTCCCCCTCGCCGCCCTCGCGAACATTCTGACGAGCGATACGACCGCTACCCACCTGCTCGCCCCCCTCCTGGTCGAGGCTTTGATGACGATCGTGATTTTGTCCAAGACCGTCGCTACTACGGCGACGACGACCGTCTTCCCCCGCGCCGCGATGAGCGGGATGTGGAGCGCCGTGTCTACATTGACCGTGAGAGGGAACGATACGCGAGCCCTTCGCCTCCCCGCCGGCCCACAATGGTCCGCCGTCAATCATCCCTAGACACCTTCGACCGCCGCCCGCTGCATTTCCTCGACCGAGAGCCCCGTGAAGAGTATGGCCAGATGACTCGTCGCGAAGATTTCCGACGGGAACGCGAGCGTGAGGAGTTCCGAGCGCCCCCTTACCAGCCAATCCCTCTGCCTCGCACCCGCCAACTCGGCCCTGCCCGACCAGCACCCTACGATGACATTTCAGTTGCCGAACCTGGCTACTACGGCGACGAAGAATTCCGTACCATGCCGGAGCGTGTGCGCGAACGAGAGATTATCCATGACAAGTCCTCGCGGCGGCGTCGCGACCGCAGCCGCGAGTCGAGAACCACCAAGACATACTCGCACCGCGGCAGTTCACGCTCGAGCAGCACCAGCAGCCGCACGTCGAGCGACAGTGGCGGCACAGCCGTCCGCAGTGAGTACCCGAAGAAGGGCAAGACGAGAATTCCCGCCCGACTGGTGTCCAAGAGGGCACTAATTGAGCTGGGATACCCGTTCATTGAAGAGGTAGGTTCTCCTTGCTGATCGCGATTTTGCTCCTTTGCTGACCATTCAGGGCAACACTGTTATTGTGCTCAAGGCTCTCGGCCAGGACAATATCGATGAGCTGCTCAAGCTCAGCGAAGAGTTCAAGAAGGGTATGCAGAGCGTCATTATGACACTACGAATGGACGCTAACTTTCAGCAGGTGAGCTGGAACTTCTTGAGGAACGTCGCGAGGAGGTTTTCACCATCGCTCCTCCTCCACCTCCTCCGGCACCCGTCGTCGTCGCACCCCCACCCCCGCCAGCGCCAGCTCCCGTCGCTACACCTGTACCAGTCGCCACAACACCAGTTCCACCACCTGCCCCTGTCGTGGTCCCTCCGCCCCCCGTGCCCGTCGTTGCACCGGCTCCTCCGCCCCCAGCGCCTGTCTACTACGAGGCGCCGCCTCCACCGCCGCCCCCAGCGGAAGTTGTTTACGATCGCACCGTCATCCGCGACGTCTCGCCCAGTCGCTCAGTTTACTCTTCCGCCTACACTGATTCGGGTGCTCCCCTCTACCACGAGCACCGTGAAATGTCATCCGAGATTCCGGTCGGCCCCATGGCTCTCGCAACGCGCCATCGCTCACAGTCCCGCTCTCACCGCGAGATTCGTGCCGAGATCAAAGCTCTCGAGGCCGAGATGCGCGACACCCGCATCTCGAAGCGTCACGAGCACCGCCACGACCGCGACCGCGAGATTGTGCGCGCCGAGCGCATGCCCGATGGCGCCCTCGTGCTGTTCGAAGAGAAGGTCGAAAAGGTCGAGCACGGGCACCGGCCGGCGAGGATCGAGAAGGACAAGAAAGGTAGGATGGCCATCAGCATCCCGAAGAAGTACCTCTAGGTGCGGCGTGCTTTTTTCCTCTCTTCTCGAAAATCGGGGACGACCGAGACACGACAGTTACTGATGCTTTCTCTTCGACAGGGCCGTCCCCCGGTTTGATGAGAGCCATGCTTGCTACTCTGACATGAGATGTTCCTGATTTCGAAACGGCCTCCGCATAGGTGTCCAGACAAGACAAATGGAGGTCTTGTGAAGGGATTACAGAAGACGGTCTTGGACGTCCTAAAATGACTCGGTCTGGAAGAGTACGGACGTGAAATGTTGAATATTGGATGTGGATATTACGTTGCGGCGCTGTTCTTGGGTTTTCTGGCACGCTAGGTTCGGGGAAGGTATCTCAATCACCGTACTGTAGAGGTGTATACGAATTATGACTTGTACTGGGTCCAGATCGGTTCTGTGATGCTACTGTATTCAAAGATTTGTCAAGGCTGGGTTGCGCGCTCCCCAGGCCCGTCGAAGGAGACAATTTCCCAGCTCATGCACGTCTCTGCTTGGGAGAATCTCAGTCGAGCAGAAAGGCTGCACAGGCAACGGGACGAGGGACGCAAAAACAAAATGTCAGGCGCTCACGGAGCGCTCACGTACGGCACACGACGAGGGCAGGATTCGAACCTGCGCGGCCGAAGCCATATGATAAGGTGCCCAGCGCCCTTGTAATAAGGGGACCGGGAAACGGTTCGAGTCATACCCATTAACCACTCTGGCACCTCGCCGATGAAGAGTAATGTCCGTTCGAGGGGGCCTAAGTGGGACAAGGGAAGGGGAGGGTGCCTGAGCTGGGGAAGCGAACGGGGCGGTGGGGGCTGTGAGGGATTTGGGAATGTGTGGAGTTTTGTGGATGGGATGTGTCTTGGGATCTCTTTGGTGACAATAGAGTAAAGGGGGAAGACGGTAAATGGGGGGTCATTTGGCTGATTTGTTACTGCGGTTCCTACCTCAAGGGCCTCTCATTATACATTGTCGGTTCCATCGATGGTGTCTTGTTCGGCGACAGGCTCTCTCTTGGGTTGGTCTGTGGAAGAAGTCCATTCATGAGGCTGCAACGATGCCTGCGATCAACTGCTATGCGTTGGGCGGCGGGCTTGACGATGCCGCGATGCCTGCGAGGCAGTGCTCCGTCACTCGCATCGGCGAGATGTTGCTTGTAGGGTGATGCCACACTAGACAACACGTACCTCAGTCGATCGTTCGATCATTGTTTCAAAGGCTCGTCCGTCCAGAGAGCCCAATATGCGCCGAAAGCGGCGCCGACAGGCTTGAGTAAGAACGATGGCAATCGATTTCATGCCCACATCACGTCGTTGAAGCGGCTCTAGACACCTTGCGTCACGACATCCGCCTTGGCACGTTAATCAACTCTCGCCTTCTAGTTATCGCGCTGCTTCGACCAAAAACAATGTTCGTCGGCCGTTTCTGGCCTGATCAAACCGCGCCCAGCCCTAACCCTGTCGAAGAATGTTGCCAGAAGTGGAGGCTGCTGTTCAGCAAGTTATGTTGCCTTTCGGACGACGACGAGGCGACTCGTCTGTCACAATCATGCGACGCCTTCGGAACCGCCTGGCAGGGTCTCAAAGCTGCATGGATCCTTCAATAAGGTTATGAACTTCGATCAGGGTAGCTTTCGCGCCGCGGCCCTCTATAGCCGCCATCACCGATATCGTGATGATTGTATTGCAGACATTTGACAAGGAGCAAGAGGTCCAGGGCCTTAAGGCTTTAATCTCTACCTTGCATCCAGTTTTCGTCGAGAAATTACAGGTTCAGATTAAAACCCCAGCCGGACGATCGGAAACAAAACACCCTTCGCTATCACACTCTACATCGTTCGATTGCGAAAAGGGTCTGTAAAAATGATCGCTTCACAATCTTCTCAGTGACCTTGGCCAGAATTACTGGACAACACGGATTCAGATGGCCGATGCGAGAATATTCGATGTAGAAATCCGAAACCCGAGGCCTGATAGTCAAATGAAAATAACATAGACGCCGAACGATGCAGATCTCACAGTAAGTCCTGATGGTTACCATGCATATCGTTAAGTATTTGAACAATGCGATTCCGCGGGGACAGATCTTACCAAATCGAGGGTTATGCACCACAGACGAGATTTTCAAGAAGGTCTCGGGGCAGAAGACGATCGAAGAAGGCAGATAGCTCTGGTATGTTGAAGGCGCATGTCTGGTACTGTATTTTCCCCTCAGATGCACCTTTCTTGAACTAAGGCAAAGACTTTAGCCTGGAGGAATCTATCTTGACATGAGCCGCTTCCGTACACAGATTAAAGCACTGCGTGACGGGCAGTCACATCTTTGCTGTGCGATAAGTGCTGGCCCTGGATGAGACACCAAGCACAATAGATGATGAACGATGAGTTAATTTTCCTTGAAGAAAGACACTCACACGGACCCGCACGGAGCATTTGCGGATGGCATTCCACTCATCTAAGACAACATAACCGTACTACACATCGCAAAGTCCAGAATATTTCGGACAAGTCGGTGCGCCAGAAACCATGTCAACTGTGCACGCATTACAAGTTTGGATTCACATGTCAGTATTACATGAAAACGTCAAGGCACAAATCATTGGCGAGCTCAACACTTTTATAACGACAGAACTAGAGTAGGAACAGAGAAACCTCCGCAACGTGTCCGCAGTAAAGACTGTCATGAACCAAGATCAAACTGCAATGAACCCTTCAACCCCAATCACCAAACAGTCACCACATCCACCGCGTTTCAATCACGGCCTTTTCTCCAACGCACAAGCGCAAGCCATCATGACTTAGAGTGCTGATGCGAGCCTGTAAAGCTGCCTCAGAGGTTGGAGCAGGCCCTCTTGATGGACTGGATGCCGAAAAGCTCGTTGGCAACGTTGACAAGGGCAGTGCCGCCAATTCGGAGCCTCTGCTTCTTGGTCTTGGCACGGACGAGGAGCAGAACAGTCTTCCTGACGCCACCAAGCTTCTTGAGGTACTTCTTGATCCTGAGATACTTGGCGGCGGGAATGAAAGTCGTGGCGATGGCCTTGGTGATCGCATAGACGCACCTGGCGACCGCAAGGGGCCCACGAGCCTCGAGATCACTGCGCTCAAGGATGGCGAGCGAGGTGTCCTCGCTGCGGGCTGAGATGGGGGCGCCGTTGTCCCTCTCCTCCTTGACGCTCTTGTCGCCGTCGCGGAAGCCGTTCTCGATGAGCCAGGCGTTGGTGGCATCGTCTCCCTTGAGGAGGACCTCGTCGGGGATGGAGAAGATCTCGGTCAGTGCCAGCTCGAGGGCGAGCTCTGTCTCCTCGGTCAGGCTGACAGTATCAGCAGCGCCGCGGGCAGTGATGTCGCGTTCCTCGGTGGCCTCAGAGACCACCGGGCCGGCGATGGCCAGGGTGGCGAAGATGGCGGCGGTGAAGAGCTGGAACTTCATTTTGATGGTGGATGATGCTTGACGTGATGACCAAGTATTGCTTGGAAACAGCGTGAGTCTGAAGGATCGTGCTGGAGCTTTTGCTCAGAAGTAGAGTGTGATGATGAGACTGATAGTGTGGATGATGAACCAAAACAAAGACAGTGAGGAGAATTGTCGAGCTCATATTTATAACTGCTTAACCTCGCTTGATCATCTTCACATATTGACTTGTTGAACAGCTTCTACCTCAACCCCTGGCATCACGATATCGCGAAGTCCGAAGATCGGCAAGGCACTCTTGCTGATTCTCTCCATCAGGCCTGCCTCGCTTACGAAGAACGAATCATATGCAGCATGAGGCATGGATAGGATAGATGATTTGCGTGATGCGTCCATCGAGATGTGTTTCTTTCTGCGCCCACCCCTGAAAGGGCTGGGTCGGCTTACAGTTCGCGCCAGGCTCTGCGGTTGCGATGTCGATTCTTGGCCCCCATCATCTAGGACCCCTGCATTTCGCTACGGGAAACGTGGCTGGGAAAATAAGCATTGGGGGCAACATGAGTGTTATTTCCCCCTGAAGTTGCTGAACCGCTTAAAGAACATGGGGGATGCGGCGTCAGCATTCGTTTATTCTCCCTCGCACACGCTTATCATGCGTTGCATTCTGGATTCGAGCAGGGGCATCTGGATATTGGTTGGTCTGGACTCAAGATGATGTGCTTCCCAAACGAAGAAAAAGCTGCATTTCAGCCTTGCTGGATGAACTAGTGAATGCTTAATTGTGAGTGGGCTACAGGACCGGCAGCCATCGCTCAGAAAGGGATTTGGGGCCGGAAAACGAGATCACGGCGGAGAAGCAGATGCGGGACGGGTCCAATGTAGAGCTAACCATTTTTTCAAGATTGTTTCCATCTGGCGCCATATTGCTGGTACATGAGAGATGAACGCTCATGTATGTTGTCGGCAAGTTTGCACAGGAACTATCCTGTGACTTCATTCTTCCGGATCGACAGATACACTTGTCATGGTCAAGGAAGCTCTTGAACCGCCAGGGCGATGATCGGCCAGGTACCAGGCACATATCGCTGCCGAAAGATCGAGTGGCTGATGTTCCAATCACATGGAAAATAGACACACGGCGTAGGCCACAAGGCAGACGACTGGGCGGCATGTCGCTTACCACGGGAAGGCTTGAAGGTGGCCGCACCCCGCCCTTGCCATGACTACTCGCTACAAGCGATTCAGCGCCACGTTCATATTAAGCTTATATGTAAGGCGCGTTTCGATATGCAAGTCAAACTCAGCCCTGAAGCCATTCTCGAGCCAAATATCGGTGCCAAGAAAATCTTACCCTAGGGCTGTGCATCTGGGGGAGCCTTATTTGCAGTGAAGTCAGCCTAGCCAATGGCGTGGCGTGAGCCTGCACTGTCAGCAATGGAAATCGGGCGTATCGACCCGAGTCTGACCATGGTTTCTATGACCGGTCTGAGCCTACAGGCGGCCCGCAAACCATTTCTCATCCCTTGACCGGGATGTTAGTTGGTAATTCAGAAAGCAGAACGCGATGGAAGAACCTTTTGCTAGCCACTCACCTACACGGCAGTCGCTGATGTGGTGCTTCATATTGCGCGCATTGGCAGGCAAGTCTGCCTACCTATGCTAGGTGCAATTCTGGCGTTTTTCCATTCAGCCACGCTTGATTTAAAATTTACCTATGCTTCCTCACGCTGGTGTGAGCTTGCTAATCTCAGGGTGTCAATACCATGGCCAATGGACTGGAGATTGCGGACACATCAATCTGCAGAACCTACCTTCTTCACACCGGAAGTTTTCACTGGGATCTCGAGTGTTGTATTAGTGAAATTAATTAGTACTTCACCTCCCATCCGTGACCAATAAGCTAGGTCTGACTTCTCAACAAGCAAACCTTGCTCTAAAGACGCCGACGCCGCCCGGTTTATCTCACGGAGAAGGGGGATGTGAATTTGCAAGACATCTACCAGTCCACTCGGGCCCAGTTCGCAGACCGATTTGATGAAGTATCGCATCTCTTGTCGTCAATAAAGTTTCTGAGATCAATACCGTATCGAATTGAGTATCTTGCGAAGGGAACGCGGGGTGTTATTTATGAGATTACTCTTCTTCAATGTAAGGGAAAGGTGTATGAGGTTGATAATTCTACCAATACTCAACACCTGAGGGCAGATCCTGCGCTTTAGGGAAGCAGACGGTATGATTGATTCCAGGCGATGGGTAGGATATAAGTATGTAAAAAGAAATTTAAATCCAAATAAAGGGGGAAATGCAGTAAACCCTGTTCTCTGCGTTGCGGTCGTTCTGGAAGAAACGGTTCTGACGCGTCCGTGGGAAAATTGGACACAACACAGTAACTTCTCAAGCATTTCTCCCATCGCCAGAAAAGAATAATGGTGGGTGATTTCAACATATGTTAGGCGTTATGTTGAGTGGTAAGTTCGACTGATCATCAGGTTAGAGCGTTATGTTTCCATCGCTGCGCTGCTCCTCACGCTATGCATTTAAGCTGATACTATGGCATTTATTTATATCCGCTTCACCGACCACGGAGAATCCTTCACTGGTGCTTGTTGCTACCTCATTCCGGCCTCCATCCACAAGTCTCGCGTTGTTAGACAGACTGGGTGGCAATTACTGACTCCCGCCAGTACCAGAGTCCCGCCCAGGTGGGTCCCGGTCCAACGAGGATCTGTCCTGCTACAACACCGACAGCAACCTGAATGGCTTCCAACGTTTCGATGTACCCGAGGCGGCGTAAGTCCCAAATCGAGTACATTTTTGATGCAAAAACGGCAGCCAGCCCAGCCATCAAGTCATACTTGTGCAAAAGATCGAAGTCATCTCCTATGTTTGGCCAGGCAATATCAGGTACGAAGAGGTTCGTCGATCGCAGGAGCGTTCTGTTGATCAACGCACCTGAACTGTAGCACGTAATACCTAGGGCTACGAGGTGTGCCGTGGCCTGGATACCAAAGGCAAAGATATATGTCGACTTGAGGCTCTGCAGGTCGCGCTTGGTGTATTGATCCGTATCAGGTCGGCTTCTGTCTTTGGTGGTAGAGCAGCTGTGCCACTGCCATGTCCTGAGACCCGAGGTAAACAGACTAGTCAACATGCTGAAAAGAAATGGGGCGAGACGCAATAAGTCTACTCTTTTGGCCCTGAGACATTCTTAGTGGTTCACCTGAAGAGTTCGCCCCGAATGTCGTAGTGCTCGTCTCAGGCGGCCAAGTCTTCAAGGACGCAGCCAATAAGACCTCGGGCCTTCACCCAGTATGGCGTCCATCTCCTTTTGTGCTAGTTACTTGGCTTTCTATTGCTAAAATGGCCAGTAATTCTTTACGTAAAGCTGTCAATGACGATGTCACATTCGTGGAAGGCAACCTTCCTTCCTTTATACTTCTTAGTTTCTGGAAAAGTGGGTTAAACCCCTTATCTAGACCTATCTATTAGCTAGTAACC